TCCGAATGATATTTGGGATTGCCCACGGCCATTGGACGAATCACAAGTGGTACTTTCAGCCACATTAGTGATCGTATCTGCAACAAGATTTGTGGCTGGTCAGAACGAAACCTTGCTTGTGCGGGGAGGGAAGTGCTTCTAAAATCTATTGCTCAGGCAATCCCAACCTACAGTATGAGTTGTTTTCAGCTGACAAAGAAAGTGTGCAAGACTATCACCTCGCCAATGGCAAAGTACTGGTGGGGAAGCTCTTTGGATAAGAGATCCCTACAGTTGCTAGCTTGGGATAAATTGACATAACCTAAGATCAAGGGTGGCTTGGGTTTTCGGGACCCTCAAGTTTTTAATCTCGCTATGCTCGGCAAGCAAGGCTGGCGACTCCTAACGAACCCAAATTCACTTTGTGCAAGGGTGTTGAAAGGTAAATACTTCCCTAACACAAACTTTCTCCAAGCTTTGATTCCTAAGAGTGCTTCTTCGACCTGGAGAGCGATCATTGCGGGAAGGAAGGCTGTGGAGGCGGGGCTGATCCATCGGGTAGGTGATGGTTCCTCTATCTCTATTTGGAACGACCCTTGGATCCCCAATACTGTCTCTATGAAACCAGTCGGCCGATTAGGGGCTGCCGCTCTCGAGTACGTATCGAAGTTGATTGATGATTACACTAGAAATCGGAATGTTGATCTTGTTCGCCAAAATTTACTCCTCCCGGACGCTGAGGCAATTCTGAACATACCTTTGAATCGAGCTGGAGGGGAAGACACTTTGGTGTGGGCACTCGAAAAGTCAGGCAAGTACACTGTCAAATCAACGCATCGCTCTCTAATGACTCGCAACGAGCTTAGCTCTCTAGAGGAAGGACGACTACAGATACTTCATCAGCGAATAAACAGTTGTGGTCAGCACTTTGGAAAATACATGTGGTGCCGAAAGTTAGGGTTTTCTGGTGGAGAGTTCTCCGCGGTATCTTGCCAGACTCCTCGACCTTGAAGCATCGACATATCAAACCACTTGGACGTTGTGACATTTGTCAGTCAATGGATGAAGATTTAATGCATGCGCTTATTTCATGCTCGCATGCAAAGCAGTTCTGGATAGCGGCCAAGGGTCGGTTCGACCTTCAACTACCTAGGCTGCATCCACTAACGTGGGCGCGTGATATTGTGTTGGATCCCATGTTCGCAGATGACACCAAATGCAAGATCATCACAATAATGCATGCAATATGGACTTCCAGAAACAAGTGGACTCATGAACAAGATGGATATGATCCAGTTCAGGCGGTTAAATGGATCCATGAAACTCTATCTTTGCTGGATTTACCTGTTCGTCGCACTAGGGTGCAGGCGGGACAGGGATGGAAACCCCCCGACGCGGGGTGGATTACCATCAACACCGATGGATCGGTATTCCCGGATGCACTAACAGGCAGAGCTGGTGGTATTTCCTGGTCCCATTTATCCTTCATTGGGGCTTGGTGCAAGCCGCTAGTCGGCATTTCAGATCATTTCATCGCCGAACTTCTAGCCTTCCGGGAGGGTGTGATCTTTGCTCAGCTTCGCGGGATGTCACATGTGATCATGGAGGTTGATAGCATGGAGCTGGTCACCCAATGGAACTCGCGAGGCAACTCTCAATCGGTTGCAGTGCCTATCTTACACGAACTAGATGATATAGTCCTCAAATTTTGTTTCTTTTTTGGTTCACCATGTCAGTAGGGAGTTCAATACTCCGGCTCACTTGTGTGCGCAACGTGCTTGCTCGGCCGAGGGCACGGAGTGCTGGCTAGAGCAGAGCCCCGATTTTCTTCTTGTAAGCCCGCGGGCAGACTGTAACCGAATGATCTTGAAATAAAGTCTTAGTTCGATGCAAAAACACTCGGAAAATACATTAGTTATCTCTCGTTCACATTACATTCCACAATTCACATTTGCTATTATGATATGTCTGGTGCAGAGTTTGAATTGCTAGCTAGTTTTCCTTTAATTTTGCATGTTGTTCAACATGTATTATTGGTGCACTTAGTTGATCCTGGCATATTTATGATTTGGGCTAGATAAGATTCGCCTAGTAAATTTCCACATTACGATTGAGCCAAAATTGTAAGATTTCTTAAATCACACATTCACCCTCTTTGTATGAAATCTAGGTCCTTTTAGCATTAGATAACAATGATGCACCACAGATTCTGGCAGTACCCTCCACACAGAACAAACCATGCAATTAGGCTGGCAATTAGGCCAGCCTCAATGCTTGAGGCGATCATTATCAACACTTTATTAGGGGCGGTCCTATAGTAAACCTGCAGGTGCACAGGGCACTGGGTACCTTCTAATTTCCTCTTGACATAACCTATTCTTGATATGTATATGACGCCCGATGCTTAAGTTCGTTGATGCAAATTCTCGGTGGTGGTGTACCCCTATCATTTTTATTCTAGGTCCATCTCTATGCCATGTCGTGGGTGATAAGCCACGTTGATTTGTTGCATTTCGAGTGCCCACTCACGTCAAGTTAATTGGTTTAAATATCTTTGTTGCTAGACTGTCATCTTGTATATTAAAAAAACAATTTGATCCTAGGAGGAACTAGGCACCATATTTAATATAAAAATGAGGCTTGAACCCTAGCAGGTTGGCCAACCAAATTTAAGGTAGAAATGAGGCTCGAACCCTAGCAGGTTGGCCAGAAAAACATAAAGCCTTTCTTAAAAATGGTGTTTTAGTCTCTAGTTTTTATGCCATTCCTCAGCTTAAAGTATGTTTTTACGTTCGAGAGTGACTATTACTCAGTTGAATTAGAAATAGTTATTTCTAGCTCCGCGATGATAGTGGTCCGATCAAGATATTCACATCCTTTTGCATTGCACGATTCATGATGTTGGAATTGAGTGATTCATATAGTTCAATCCTTTGACTCAATGGTCTTGTGGAGTATATGTGGGTTCATGCTAGTGAACATTAGATTCGTGATGTCCTATGAACTTTTTGGTTGAATTATATACTTTGAATAATGTTTATAAATTACATAGTACTTTTTTGGTCTGAATTATTTATTGTTGAATTGTTTTGTGTTATTTTCATTGATTTGTTCTATATGTATCGTTAAATGATCTACGTGCATGATTTTGTATGGATTTGAGATTTTGAAATATCAAAAGCCGTTGACCGGACGGATAAATGAGCCTTGACCAAAAATAGTCAATTCTTTTTTCGACTCAGCGATAATAGCCGTCCGATCAAGATGTCAAAATGAGATGGTTCCGTATCGTTGACTCTGAAGCGAGGAGTCAAGGAGACACACAATCATCTTCTTTTTCAAATATACTCCCTTCGTAAAAAATATAAGAGCGTTTAGATCAAGGAGTAATCGATGGAAGTGACAATATCTGCCAAAAGAAAAAGAAAAACACTAGAAAAGGAGAGCTGCAGAAGCAGCAAGGGCTCAAATAGGAGAGAATTCCTTATTTGGCCCTTTTTTAAATATGGTTCCCTATTTGGCCCTATAAAACAAAATCTTCCTTATTTGGACCTTGGCTTAAATTATGTTCCCTATTTGACACTTTCATACATTTTTCCATCCAGTAATGTTAACTAGCATGTGCAAAGACAATTTTGCCCTTAACAGTAGTTTGTCAACAAAAATGGAAAGAGAGGTAGCGCCGCTCCTGTGTTGCTGGAGGCAGCCATGGGCTCGTGTACGCTGCTGCCATGAGCTCGTGTACACCAGCGGTGCTGGGTTCTACGTCACGCGCTAGGATTCCGCGATGTTTGTGAATGCTTTGGAGTTTTAGCAATTAGTATAGGGACGGCATACTGGACAGAGAACAATTAAAATTCTGCATAGATACGTAATGTATACAGAATCGAATACAGCTAGGAGATCCTTGTGATCTGATTGCACACGTGTTTTCGTGCATGTCTCATGCACATTTTTCTTTTTTTTTCCTGACCTGAAAGAGAAATAAAAACGTTACTTCGAACAGTTCGACTTACAAGTTACATCAACTAGTACAGCCACCAGATCTTCGCCATGCTCATGCTCGCCGGCACGCTCAGGCAGTACACCGCCACGGCCAGACACGCCCACGAGTTGTCGTGACGATGTGACGATGATTTAATCGTGTACACATGGGTAGTAACTATTCTTTTTTCTACAGCAAGTACTATTATATATATATAGCACTATTTTTTTATTATTGAACTACAGCAAAATATATCACTTTTTTTGGGCGAACAAAAAATATTACATTACCTCTACGTTTGCATGTAAATAATCAGGTCACATTCTACACAAGGGGTAAAACCGTCTTTCTAGGTTAAACTTAATACTGTTACTTGTCAAAACTAACGGAAGTGACACATAGGAAACAAAATAAATTTAAATGTTAAAAAAGAAAAAAGGATGTTTTTTAGGCAAAAAAGAAATCAAAATTTAAAAAAGGGCCAGATAAGGAAATTCTCTCCTCGAATAGCCCGAAGTTCAGAAGCCGGTGAGCGACACCACAGCTGCATAGAGCAGCGAGCGAGCATCCAAGGCCCCCGGCTTGTCTCTTCCCCCCTCTCACCGGTCGCCCACAACCCCTCTCCACAGGGTGCGTGCGACGCTGCAGTACAGGGAGGAGGAACAGCGAGCAAGAACAGCAGGAGCGGGCAGGCACAAAGCGCTGCTGCTGCTGCCGCTGCCAGCCCCGCACAGCCTGGGCTCCGATAATTGATTGACGCGAACCCAGCTATCACCTCCCCTTTTTGTTTAATCCATAGCATATATAATCATCAAATCCCCACCCATCCCTGCACTTATTTCTCGGTTCTTGGCACCTTCCTGTCTTTTCTAGATTTCATTGGATCCCATATAGGGCCTCCACCACATTCATTTGCCTTGATAGCCGCCAGCTGCTCCTCTTCCTCCCTTCTCCAGATTTCTTGGCTCCCTGGGCTCCCTGGCTTGCCCAGAGATTGCAACGAAATCTTGCAGGGCTCTTCTTTGGTTTCTTGTTCATGCTGGGAGCCATGGATGAGAGGATCCCGCCGCCCCCTTTCTTCCAGTACTCGCCGTCCGGCGTCCATTCTTCCCCTCACCACCACAACCCCATGAGGTCGTCTGCCTCCGAGAGGGAGAGGTCTGTGCCCCATCCTCATCCTCTTGTGAACTGCCGTGAAGTTTTCGTTTTTATCTTTGCGACGATTCTACTAGCTTGAAAAACTCGTCGTGGGCGTGAGATTTGACTCTGGTCGTGCGAGATTTGTGCCTAATCTTCACCGTCCCGGTGTGATTTTGGTGATGGTCAAATGATGTCCCCACGCTGTAGTGATCTCCCAAGTTGAGGATTTGGGGATATTGCCTGCTGATGGTAGATTTGTGCTTGCTGTTACGAATAAATGAGCATGATGTCCTCGATTGGCCTCTGGTAGTGTGAAGTTCATTTGCAGGGTGCTCGTTGTTTTGACTTTTGATTAGGTCGCTAATTATTGGTGCTACTCTTATTTTCTGCTCTTAAGTAAATATGTGCCTGTGGTACTTGCAGTTGATCTTACTAATGAGATGGTTTGCTTTGCAGGTATATTGCTGAGTTACTTGCTGAGAGGCAGAAACTAGTTCCCTTCCTGCAAGTTCTTCCATTTTGTAACAGGCTTTTAAACCAAGGTCTGTTCCCTTCTCTCTCTTTTTTTTTTTCAAATTACATGGAAGCTACTGTATTTGTTTATGTAGTTCCCAGTAACCGTAGATTCTAGTTGCTATTAGAGTGTTTACATTCACCCAGTTGCTATTCTTAGCCATCCTCGCTGTTTGTCAGAAGAAATTGCTATTCTTCTTTGAGCAATCATGTCCGTTCTCTTTATATGAAAAGCTGCTCATGAGGATTTCTTTTCAGAATGTGTTATCAGTCTTGTTCCACCATACCGTTACTTCGGAATCCCAAATGATGGCATTCATGTAAATCACATAAATTGCTGCCAGAGATTGTCTAACATGCAGAACTAACTCATTGACGAAACAAGAATACCAGACAGTCTAACACCCTTAAGTTCCTCAGTCATGTCTTACAGTTAACATGCTTACTTTTCACTTCTTTATCATAATTTAACCATTATATTACTTGAGTGGCGATTTCTAAATTCTAACATCCAGTTGTAGTTCCAGGTTATAGATACAAACATAGCATGGATATTTTCTCCCTGATTTAAAGTGACACAAATAGAACTAACGGATTTCGTACTGGCTTGTTTTCTTCAATGCAGAAATTCTGCGGGCATCTTCTTTGCCACCTAACCCAAATTTTGTTGAACCTGAGAGATTCGATTATGGTAGCCCATTAAGATTAGCTGGCCACCCTATGAACGGTCAACCAATGGATATGGAGGGATGGACTGGAATGCATGCAGAGGTTGTGCAAATTCATACAATCTTCTGATTATTGGTTTTACAAGTCCTAACTGCCTTAACGTTCTATATAGCTGTTAGAGAAATGCTGGCATGATTACATCTACTTTCTCTACTTTTTTTTCTTATTCTAATATGGCTATTTCAAATATGCAAATCTCTACGAGTGCTGCCAACTAGTTCATGTTATCCTTGAAGCTGTTTAGAAATTCGCAGGAACCAATGAACCACTTTTAAGACCGAGTATCAGTCAGCTGTCCAGTTCATTAACATGAAACGGAAAAAAGGAAAGCTATACATTGTCATACTAATAGGAATGGTTTCAAAAGCACCAATCAAGTTACAGCCACTGTTACAGTACAGATGTTAATAGCTTTGAATAATTCAAGAATGGCATGTTTTGGCTTTTTCCTTTTGAGAAAATGACAACGTTCTTGCTAGTTCAATGGTGATTTTCATCCAAGCCTTGGATCTCAAAATTATTCCTGCGAGATTAATGATTAGGAATCACTGGTTCTACCCATGAGGATAATTATATGTAAATGATAGAAGCTTGACACCAGGTAAACCTCGGCCAGTCGTTCTTGTAACCGATCTTTACGACCTGTGAGCAATTTCATCCACCCATGAAAATCGTAATTCGACAATACAGTAGAGAATCAACCTGGGTTTTGTTAAGGAAGTGATGCGGATATATGGACTCTTTATTCATATCGTTTTCCTGATATTACAACTAAGAGACTTGTACAACTTCTTATCATGTAGTCCCTCCGTCCCAAAATAAGTGACTTAACTTTGTACTAAAGTTAGTACAAAGTTGAGTCACTTATTTTGGGACGGAGGGAGTAATAATTAATGTGCAACACTGGCCATCTTCAATGCCAAATAGAAACACTTACATATTATTTCTTTTCATTGATTATATTAAAATGCCTGCCTTCAGCATATGGGGATACACCATTCACCATCCATGGGCTGGAATGGTGGTCCTGGAGTTGTTGGCGGCCCTGTTGTGAAGAAACTTGTCAGGATGGATGTTCCAGCAGAAAAGTATCCAAATGTATGTACGACATACTTTCACCTCAAGCTGTTTTGATAAACTATTTAACTCGATTATGAGATTTACTAAATTCAAATCATCTGCAATCTTTTGTTATGTTTAGTTCAACTTTGTTGGCCGTTTGTTGGGGCCACGAGGAAACTCCCTGAAAAGAGTTGAAGCTACAACACAATGTAGAGTCTATATTCGTGGACGTGGTTCAGTGAAAGATACTGTGAAGGTAATTAAACACAGATTAGAACCACCATTTCATTGTTGCTTACTCACACTCTTAGAATGTTCTAGCACCACCTTTTTTCTAGAAACATTTTAAGACCGTGTTCCGTTACAGTGCTTATTTTGCACGTTAAAATATGGATATAGTATGTATGGTTGTTATTTGTTAATTAAATTGGATATGCAAGTAAAACTGAAGGTTGATCCTGAATTCTTCTGATTGATGTAAAACTCCCATGTTTTTTTTTGGCCGGCAAACTCCCATGTTTTTATAAGTACAATATGCCTTACACAGTAAAAGGCTGATAGATGTTGAGCTAGTAATGGGCAGCATATGTATTGATTGAAGTAAAAGAACGGTTCCAGTTCTGCTCAGGTATTTGTTATGTTCTAGCGTCGTAAACTTCAAGCCATGGCTTGTTAAGATGAAAATTCTACAAGTAATTTACCCACAAACAGTGCAGAAAGTCTAAACAAACCTTCTAGGCTCCGTATACTATGTTTGCTCACCATTTGTATCTCACCCCGTAACATTTGATATTTTAGTAGAGCTGTCAGTTAAAATGTGGTGTGTTCATTATATTCATCTTGCCTATATTCTCATGTTGTTGCCTAGATAGTATGGTGTGTTGATTGTTTTTCACAACTTATTTCAGTGGCATCCCTTTTGAAAACGCTCTTATATTTCTTTACAGAGGGAGTATATTTTTGTAAGCATGCTTAATAGAATTAACTCTTGTGTTTAACAATTCCTCTCATCCAGTGACTACCAAAAATATTGTTGGAGAGGTTCTGAAAGCTGATTTTTTTTATTGAATAGGAAAACAAGCTTAGAGCTAAGCCTGGCTATGAGCACTTAAACGAACCACTGCATGTGCTTATCGAAGCTGAGTTCCCGGCGGATATCGTTGATGCGCGACTAAACCAGGCTGTGGTCATACTGGAAGATCTTCTCAAACCAGTAGTATGTCGCTTACCATCTTATCTGTCGCAGTTCCCACATTTCCATGACCTCATTTTTTCTTTGAATTGAGTCGGCTTTACCTGTCTTGCTAACGGTATTGCGTATCACCAGGATGAATCCATGGATTACTTCAAGAAGCAACAGCTGAGAGAATTGGCAATACTGAATGGCACTCTAAGGGAGGAGGAAAGCCCAAGCCCAAGCCCCCATCTCAGTCCCAGTGTATCACCGTTCAACTCCACCGGGATGAAACGCGCGAAAACGGGCCGGTGATCGTGCTTCTGAATACTGATTTGCCTGAGGTGACTATGATTTGAACAGATCGCGCGCAAACCTGTTCTACTGCTGGAAATGATTCATGATGCATATGGGGGACCGGCCTTGAGGCTCGTCGCATCTGTGATACGAGCTGAGATACATCTTTGGATGAATGGTCGCTATGGAAGAAATTCGTTTCGTTCGGTCTGCTCGAGGAATCGGGGCTTGCTGTTTGGTCTTATTGATTATTCTCTGTGTATCTATCTGACTCCCAAATATTAACTTTATCGGTTTGGATTAGTTAACCGTGATTGATCTGTGGCTCAAGTAAAATAGTTGTGGACAATAATCCGGGTTTTTGTCAGTTGTAACATGTCCGAGGGGGGTTGATGTTCTTGTGAACAGACATTGTTGGTCCAAAGTTATGAACCGCAAGCAACGTCATGAAGATGACTCGCTTGCCTCCTACTCCCTCCGTTTCTAAATATAGGCCATTCTAGAGATTTCAATATGTACTGCATACGGATGTATCTAGGCCCTGTTTGGTTCGGCTGTAAATTTCTAAAAGCAGCTGTGAAAAAACAGCTGTGGAAAATCTGATGTGAAAAAGATGTAGGACATTCGGCAAACCAGCTGATATAGCTTTTTCAGATTTTGGTCCGCGGCGAAATCAGATTTTGGAAAGTACATCTTGGGCTGCTTTCGTTTTTGGTTCGGATTTTGGCAGCGGATTTCTGGAATCGGATTCTGTTGGGTTCGCTTGGTTCAGATTCTGCTGCACGGCAGCGGAATCCGTCGATAAAAGCTGAACCAAACAGGATCATAGACGCATTTTAGAGAGTAGATTTACTCATTTTGCACCGTATGTTGTTTATATTGAAATATCTAAAAAGCTTATACTCACTCCGTAAACTAATATAAAAGCATTTAGATCACTATTTTAGTAATCTAAACGCTTTTATGTTAGTTTACACAAAGAATACTATTTAGGAAGGAGTAGTAAGCATGTCTCTCTGCCCTTGAAGCATCATGATGATCGCCGTACGCGATTTCGTTGTGCATGCCTTTATTGGCATGTCTAATGAACTGAACTATGAATCTGTGATAGTGGTATGTGCCCTACGACGAAGTTGCTCCTCCACGGATCCATGATGACTCTACCATCATTTCACGGACCCGTGACAGACCCGTCCTTTTACCGACAAATGCTCGGGAACACATGAAATCGAGAAATTTAGTTCATACATGTGGGAGTGGCTATTAGATTTCTTATGAAAAAATGCTAAAGAAACGGCAGATAATAAGTCATCGTAAGCTATGAAAGACTTGTTCAGTGTGTATATGAATTATGTCACTTCCAGGTGTTCTAGACAGCAATGCACGCGCCTTGACTCCATTTGCAGGTCATATTTTTGGAAGGAGCTCCAAAATTCATGGCATCATTATGCTTGGTCTATTCCTAAGTCTTTGGATTCCCTTCATCTAAGGCAAAACACACCACTTTGCACTAAGCTCTCCAATGGAGCTTCTAGTCTTAATCAGGAAGTTACAAACAGTAAATTCGTTTAAAATTGAAAAAAAGAATCTGAATTTTTTTGTGATGCTAGATGCTCATGTGCCTGAAGTTCATGACAAACTTAGTGGAGTTTGGACATTTCAGTAGCTCTCAGCAAAAAAGGACAAATTTTGTGGTTGTAAGAGAGTTTGCTGTTCATGTACTATTTTGATTGATTTTATCTTTTTTGCCATGAGCTCCTCAGATGTCTGAAAAAGCTGAAATTAGGCACGAACATCACGCATCGGAACATCTTGCACCTAAAAAAATTCAAACTTTTTTTTTCGCCGGGTGCATATGAGTTTGGTCACCGAATTGAATATCCAGTTACGTGCCTTGTTTCTTAATAAGTACTCAGAGACTGCTGAATTCAGATTAAGCTTATATCATGACATGCGGACGTAATGGGAGGGGTTGACAGCACAAGTGATTAAATTTTCCTTCTATCATGACAGAGAATCATTGAGCCTTGCTTAGCAAGGATGCATAGACGTCAAGTTGCATTTTCCAAGCGAGCATTGGATTCGAGTACCACTACATATAACAGCAGAGTCAGACAGGTCGACAGTTACACAAATACTACTACAAAGACATATAAAAGTGGGCATTGGCATGCTAAACAATTACACTTGCTGTTGAAGATCTGGGACCATGATCCTGCACGCAGAGTATTTTAACTTCATTATTTGGGGTCGTAGCACATGGTTTGAGGGACGAATCAAGACTGGTTAGACGGGCTGAATCTGTCGCCGGGATCCTTCGGTGTTTCTTTTACGAGAAAATTTTCGATCTATTTATTTTCAATCATGATAGTACAACAAACATCATAAATAATAAAAATTATATCTAAATCTATAAACTACTAGCGACGACTACAAGCAGTGAATTAAGCCAAATGCGCGCCGTCATCATTGCCACTCCCTTGCAGAAGCCGGGCACGCTACTTGGTTGGAGTAACAGGAGTCCCGAAATGGAGTAGCATTTGGCCTAGTAGTAGTGCGAAATACAGTAATCAGGGCCGTATAAAACCTGCTTATCTTCATCATGCTGTGACGTTCCTCGGGAGTTGGAGTAACTTGTTCTATTGGGTCCAGTTCTGTTTGGTTTCAAAATTCAAATATGTTCTTCTCGACTGTCTATTCAACAGTCGGCTGTTTTTTCATTTGAGGACAGTCGGTCTTTTGCCCAATCATGCTGTGACACGTGCACGTGAGTAATCATGCTGGGTCACGGTAAAAAATTTGACTAACTAACTATCGGGTATGATCTTCCAGACCCAACAACAACCAGTCTTGTACAATGCAAGATGCTTAGGAAAGGTGCTTAGGTTAATAAATCAATGTTTATTTAAGCACCGATGCTTATTTGTAAAAAATAAATGCTTAATTAGGCATCTCTTCTGTAGAAATAGACATTAATGCTTTAAAAAAAATCTGATTTATTTTTCTAAGCACCTATCATTGCACAACGCCTAACGCCTTCGGCGCCTCTTCTACATGGACATGGAAACTGAAACTGCCGTTTCGGTTGATGGTGTTCTCAACTAAGGCATACAAATATGGGATCTACATGGACGTGAAGCTGCCGTTTGGATGATTCATTCGAGTGGTGGAGCCTTAATGCAACCAGCAGGACGCAGTTCCGGCGACCACTCATCTCCCTAATACTTCTCATCTTATGGGAAACATGGAAGGAAAGCAATGCCAGGGTCTTCCGCGACTTTGCAGTGCCGGTCAGAGTAATAGAGAAATGTAGTCTATGAGGACTTGCTGGAGCGAAGTATTTGCGTATTCTAATGCCGCGAGTGTGATGTTTTGTAATCTGGCTTGTGGCCACAATGTCTAATACTTCTGTATTCAATGAAAATGGTAAATCTTTTGACTAGTTTTTTTAAAATAAATATTTTAAAAAATCCATGCTCTGAACTTCTGAAACATGCCGTCCTCTAATATCATATATCCACCATGGATATACAAAAAATATATTTACACTTGCCGTGGTCCTATAATTTGAGTTGCCATGTTGCTCTGAACGTCTATATATTTTTGGTTGTGTGCATCTTATTTATGCATCTTAGTTATGCAGAGGCCGGATGTAATGCTTAAAACTTTTAAGTAATAAAGCATCCCTTTCCAAAAAATGTAACAAAGAAGAAGAAAAATGCCTCTCTTAATCATAAAAATGTCACATCTTAATATAAGAATGTCACATCTTAATATAAAAATGTCGATCTCTTCATAAAAAAAATGGCATCTCTTAATAAACAAAAAATGTTTTCTCTTAATAGAAAATTGTCATACCTTAATATAAAATGGAATCTCTTAATAAATAAAAAATGCATCTCTTAATAAATAAATAATGCATCTCTTAATAAACAAAAATGCCATCTCCTAATAATAAAAGGCCATTTCTTAATAATAAAAGGGCCATCTCTTAATACTAATAATTGACATCTATTAAATAATAATAACAAAAAGAACAGATTGTGACCATTTGAAAAACATGTTTCAAACTTGCCATGTTGTATAGAACATTTCTTCTTTTAAGAAAATGCTAATGATCAAAAACAAACATTTTCCAAAAATTGCCATGTGTTGGATACACATTTTATGAAAAATCCGTGCAAAAAGAATATATAAGGTGTCATGGACTCTTGGCAAAAAATCATACTAAATTGCCCATGAAAATTTTATGAACTGTGAAGGGTGAAAATTGCATTCACAACACCGATCAACAACTATATAAAATGGCAAAAATATGTAAGGTGTCACTACGAAAAGAAAGACTAATTGCCATGAAAGTTTGTAAGAACTGGTGTGGAAAGTGCCTTCACCAATTGCAACTGTGTAACATGGCAAAATTATACTCCATTCATTTTTATATACAAGGCCCATGGCAATTTTACGGACTGTGAAGGGTGAAAATTGCATTCACAACAACGATCACCAACAGTATAAAATGGCAAAAATATGTAAGATGTCATTGCAAAAAGAAAGACTAATTGCCATGGCAGTTTACTGATTGTAAAAATTGGTGTGGAAATTGCCTTCACCAATTGCAACCATGTAACATGGCAAAATTAGACTCCCTCCATTTTAATATACAAGACCACTTCATTTTTTGTTTCAAACTTTGACTGATAATTTTGGTCAAGAAAATATGGGTTGTCTGTCATATACTCCCTCCGTTCCAAATTAGTTGACTTGAATTTATCTAGATACGGATATATCTAACACTAAAACATGTCTAAATATACCCATATCTAGACAAATCTGAGTCAACTAATTTGGAACGGAGGGAGTAGAATATATTATCAAAAGGTTCTTTCATATGCGCATCTAGTAACGTACTTCTTATGGCATATAACTCAATTTTTGTTGGTAAAATTAATGGTCAAATTAGACATAAAAATGTGAACTGGCCTTGTATTAGTAGATGGAGACTATAAAAAAGTGCCATG